GGCGAGGAGCGAATTCATTTCTGAACTCCTGGCGCAGTCATAGCTCGTCATCCTCCGCTTCGATCTCTGACGGTTTTAATAAGCCGCCGACCTTGGCTCGTCGCTCGAGGTCGGCTGTCAGTTTCTCGCGCGCCTCTTGCTCCTTCTCAACGACGAAGAGGTCTGCATTGTCACCAGCAAACTCCTTGAGGGAGATGAGGAAGTCTCGGACTTGGAGACGGAACTTCTCGTATGACGCGTTCAGGGTGTAGAGACACTCGATAAATGCACTAATTTGTGCACTGGAGACCTAGTTAGCTCTTGTCGTATTCACGTTATATTACAAGGTGGCAACTTACATTTGCAGATTGGGGAATGCATTACGTAGAAGACCGCCAACAAATTCGGTGAGGAAATCCTTATTGCTTGTGCCGGCTGGTGCCTGGTCCGTGTAAACAGGCCCCTGGATCTTTGGCGTGGAACCGTCTGCCGGGAGTACGAAGTAGAACATGCGCATTAGCAGCATAGACTGCGTCTTGAATCCGGCTTTGTGGTCAGGATCCGTCAAGACGAAGAACACATCCTGCAGGATACCAATAAAGAACTGCTGGAAGAAGGCATTGGCTGTTTGCACATCGGTCTTATCCGCGATATTTGTAACAAGCTCTAGGCACATGTTAAGTCCCGCGCTTTCAACGTCACGGTTATCGTGCTTGCTAGCCCACATGCAAGCGTCGATGACAAACTTGAACTGTCGGTTATCCAGCTTCAGGAGAGCAGGGAAGCAGTGTAGGTTAATAGCTCTGAGCAAGTTGAAGAATTCCACTCGGTGCTCAGGGAACTCTGAGAAGTCCTTGTTGATCATCTCAAGAGTGCACTCGAAAACGTTTTGCATGATGATTGGCACTTGATCTTCCATGAGGCCCTAATATACGGTTAGCAACATTTTATAACTGGTAACTTATTTAGGCCTGCTTACTGTAAGTCTTGTAATGATCGTGGACATAGCTTTTAGGACCTCCGCATCTCGGGCTCCCGGGACGTTGCGGTTGTAATCTACCAATACGGAGTCGAGAAGCTGCGGTACCATCTGCTGACGAATAGCAGGGAGGTCCTCTGCCTTGTCAACGTAGCTCTCAATTAATTTCAAAATTTCCTTCTTGATGGTTCTCAATCCTCGGACCTTGGGCATGCGAGGAGCAATTTCACCTGTTTCGGATGTTAGTTCATGTTACTAAGAGGGGATGGGCATTGCAAAATTACCATCACGGGCAACAGCCTCTGAAATCAGCTGGCTAGTAGCACGGTACATTTGTAGCATGTCCAGGTATATTCTACCAATCTGCGGACCGAAGTAGGGCCCAATAGAGGAACAGGCTGACACATTGGTCTTCATAATGTTCCCGATGATTTTGATTGTGTCCGAATCCTGTAAAATCTGAGGGTCCTGAGTAGCTGCTCTGATGATCTCGTCCCAGGCTGCGTTAGGTGCGTTCATGAGCTCTGCAAGCAATCGTTCCTGCTGGTGCTTGTTGCCCTGGGCAGCAACCATATATCCGCAAGCCTCGTAGAATGTGTGGACTTGCTGGGGCGTTAGATCACATGTAATGCGCTGCAGGTTCCGGATAATCTCCTCGATGAATGGTTCGTTTTCGCTAGGCTGCAAGGCAACGAAGTGTCGACGACACTGTCTTGCGATCTTAATGAACGTATCGCATGCCATATCTTGTACACCTGTAATATAATTAGCTGCTGCTCCAGAGTACTGAAATTGAGCAACAAACCTTCGTGCGACTCGTGCATGAATTCGAAAAGCTTATTGACAACCGTCTTAAGGAACTTCCAATGGGCCTTCAAGAAGCGAGGGTATTGTCCAACAATGTACATGATATTACTGGCTACAACAGCCTTGTTATCTTTACCGCGCTTCATTTCTGTCAGCCCGAGGAGGTCCTTAATAACCGTGACAAGGAATCGCTTCTCGGTCTCTTCGTTCATCGCGAGTGAAATCGATCCGATGGCCCAGCATAGAACATTGCAGTTGTGCCATGACCACTCAGTGCCGTCAACCTGCTTCTGTAGCTTTTCGGTCATGATTGTTTCCGTATCCACGACGTCAAGATGTGTCAAGTAGACGAGACATTCCCGAATGGTCTTGTAGAGCTGCACCGTATCACTCTCCTTGACAAACTCGCGCACAATTTCACCTTCGTCATTTTCGACGATAAGAACTTCTTCGGGTCGGACCATCTTTTCGATCATGACCACTCGGAGATTTGATAGGACCTCCTTATACTTGTGCATTCTCAAGGGGAAATTTAACAATATGCTCGGATTTACAGCGCCGGTAGAGGAGCTGTTTCCCATCATAAGGGGGTTAGCTTCCTGGAGGGGTGCTGTTTGCATTTCCTCGTATAGCTCCTGTACTAGTTTGAGCCAATAATCTAGACAAATCTTAAAGATCTCACGGTCCTCGATTTGTGAGATGCGAATAAGATAGAAGTGACCATGCGTGAGGAAGTCTCGGTTAGGGAGATTCTCAACAAGCTAATCGTAAAATTAGCGAATATCACAATTATTCCAACAATAAACCTACATCAACATGCTGGCCGAAGAAGTTGCACAGGAAGAGTGCCAATTCTTGGAGGAACTCCTGATCCTTGGAATTACTCTGAGGGTATGTGCTCTTCAGGTCGAGATCTAAAGGAACGATGGTAGCGATAGTCGTGAGAACATCGACGAACATCTTGACTAGTTGTTCGCTATATGCGTTCGGCTGTCCCGGTCCACCAGTTACCAGTCCACCGATCTCGGTAAGCACTTGCAGAGTGACGTTGCGGAATTCGGGAACTTCAAGAAATCGCGTGCGTAACGTCTCGATAAGTGGCGTCTCGAAAATGTATCCTAGCGGAATCCAGTTGCAAAAACGCAGTAGTGTCTCTAACGTAGCCTTCACTAAGCTTGCCTGGTTCGCTGATGTAAGAATCTCCTGGCATAGCTGGAAGATCTGTGAAAACTCGTTGCACATGGTAGTTTTCAGGTTTCTAGTCTTAGCCGAAGTCATCTGTTCGGCTGAGTAGTCGAAAACCTCTTCAGAGAGAAGGCGGAGAATGATCATGTTGTTCTCGCAGATGGATAGGTTCGATCGGCAGGATGAGATGATCTCGTTGATGAAGGTTGGCCAGTTGTGGGGCCATTCTTGCTTTAGAATAGAGACGAGAACTAAATTCAGCTTGTTCAAGAGAGTGCGCTGAGTCCTGAGCGACTCTTCTGTACTAGATGCCTGGAGGATAAAGTTCACGACGAAGTTGCGAATTCCTGCGCCGCGGGTTAGCTAGGGAGGTCTATACCGGTACTGCTAGCGAGATGAGGCGACAAACCTAGACATTGTTCTCGGGGTAGAACCTTCCATCTGGTCATGATAACGCTGTCTAATATCTGAAGTCCAAGATCTGCAACCCGTCAGCCCTGTGCCAATACCTCCCATATCGCGGGACTAGTGCGGCGTACACTTTGTCTGCGGGTGCCTCGACTCGGCAAGGAGCTTATCGACGAGTAGCCATGCATCAGGATCTTCCTTGAACTGTAAATTATGTATATTAGTTTTGGCATAAGCGTGCAAGGCATATGGCGCATCACGTACCTGGTTTAACGCGGTTTGGGCAGCTTTTTGCTGAAGGTGGGGAAAACGCAAGTGTTAGTAGCTTAGCTTCGAGGATATATATTTTACTTGAGAGAGATCAATAAAATATTAAAAGGGTAAGCTAACCTGTTCACCGCGACCTTCGTAGAAGGACTGGACCATGGCGTCCAGCTCTGGGATCGTGGGCGCCATCTCGAATGGGGTGGCGGGGGAAAAGACGAGGTAGGCTGCGCGCCTCGCTTTAACTGTGTGTCGGAATAAAGACAGTTGATGATGACGTTGAAGGCTTTAATAACGACGTGCACAGGTTGTGTTGTGAATGAGAACTGGTTAAAAATGGTATCAGTGGTAGAGAAAAGTTTGGTAGGTAGAGAGGAGTAGGAAGAAACTGTCGGATGAGTTGTAAAAAAAGGGTATCAGTAGAATTCGAAGAGGCACCAAAAGTGACGGGTCTCTAAGATGATAGCGGCTGCTGCGTACAGTTCTGGTGGTGGGGTTTGGGGGGTTCAGGGAAGCTTGGCCTCATATGAGGTAGCTAGCAAATGAGGTACCTACGTACCTAGGTACCTATAGGCTGTAGCAACAAGGCTCCTAGGTGAGCATGAGCATAGACCTTAGGCGCCCACTATTTGTGACCCTGTACTTTCACTCACACGTAAATTTGTAAAGGTTGCGAAGTACCTGAGGCGCGGTAGCGGCTGAAACTCGTTGTTAGCAGTGTTAACTGAACTCTGCAGGAACCAATTGGATGTAAACGATTCCAATTATGTCATTGGTCCGTGAACGCAAGGCTTCCGAAATAACCAGTTACCACTCATAACCGACCAACCCAAATTGACTTACCCCTCCAATTTTAACGATTAAGCTTTAGTACCAGGTATTGTGCTCCGAGGTTAGGCCAAGTCTTGCTTTGCTGCAGGACGAGAACAAATAAGAGACAGACTGTGACGTCGACCTGTAAATGTGAATACGGCTATGATAGGATCTTGTGTCGTCGTTGTTGTTGTAAGTAGCGCATATAACCTGCGTACCAACGCCAACGCAAAATAGATAGGATGCCGATGATTTTGCGCGCTTGTACAATTCTAAAATGTCCGGCTTGGCTTTGGAGGGGAATTGAAAATGTTGTAAAGCTCACCGCTGCTTCGGATCTGAAAATATTTCGTTGCCGTGCACACTCCACCCTTATTGATAACGTCCCGTATTTATTAGCTGATGCGCGTAACTAAGGCGTTGCTAACATACAACGTCCTTTTTCGGGTTGCTTAAGAAATGCTGATAATTGCCTAGTTATTATATGGGCTTAATAATGTACCTAATATTACGTACCGGGACCCATTGTTCCGGGATAACGGTACCGGGCTTTAAAGACTACTCCCGAGCCTCCGGGATTTTTATTGTCATTGTCACACCTTTCTAATTTACTGTAAATACGCCTACCATCTTATTGTTTCTAGATAAAGGAATACTATCTCTACGTGAGAATGATAGAAATCCCGCAACATAGCCGCTTTTGTTGGTTAGGATCGTAAAGTAGCATATGAGGGGGAACCAGACTCTTCGGGCTCCCTACTTGGCTGCTGATGTTGCAGCAACTTGACGTAAGTTCCCGATGATAAATGACAGGTTCCAGCTCTTCCTATACGACCAGGCGAGAAAGACGGAGAATAAGGCAGACGGATGTGACGTGGCCGAAGAAAAATCATGCAATTCAACCGAATAGAGCAAAGCCCATCTCCGATGCTTCCTTGAACCGACCTTTTTTTCTTCTTGCCATTCCCCGCGCAGTGGAACCTCTAGTCTATCCCTTTCTTTATGGAATAGTTACACTGTGTCCTTTTTTCTTCTTCTAATCATGCGGCCTAAATTGGAGCATACGACACAATATCCGCCCTCTGGCCGACTAACATTTTCTCCGAAAATGATTATCATGGGAAATACGGATTACCTTGGCGCACCGGACTCGAACCTCCTAGACGGTCCCGAACGGCGTATGTGGAGCTTTACGCTTTTTGATATCCGCAGTCAGCAAGCCCACTCTTCAGCGCAGTTATCGCCTTGTCAATATCTGTTCTCGCAGGATCGGTCTAATTACGATTAGCTTGCATAACCTTCGATCGCTACTAGAGAAATCGTAAACGTACCACACTAACACCCATGTGTCCGAATCGCACATATTTGGCAGCGATTTCTTTATGGATACCACCGGCAAAGATAACACCACTCTTTGCAAGGTTTGGGAGTAAATCGGTGGCCTTAACATTTTCAGGTAGGTAGATGGCCGTCATACCGTGGGCCTGGTCTTCCGGGTTGGCTGCGACTTGTTTCAAACCCAGCTCTGCCACGGCATTCTTGATCTTGTCAGATACCTCTCGGTGCCTAGCAAACCTTTCGGCGAGGGGCTTGGTGAGGATCTGGGTTAGTGCCGTGTGGAGCGCGTGGATAAGTTGCGGCGATGGGGTTGCGAAGTACGAAGGCTTCTTTGCTTCGTAGTTTTGCATAACTAGGTACACAACTGATTAGCACTAGTTATTGTTATCATCTGGGATCTTGGGACTTATGTCTTACTAGGTGTCCAGTTCTTCATCGAAGCAAAGTATGATGCCGGTGGGCTCTTTCTCGCCTTGAAGGCGTCGATCGCCTTACCGCTGAACATCGATATGGACAAGCCCGCGGGGCAGCCGATGGCCTTCTGGCTTGCTGTTATTACACCGTCTAGCTTCCACGCATCGAAATCGATCTCTTCGCTAGCTACACTGCACACACCATCCACTATAAGTAATGTGTCAGGTGACACTCTCTGAACCGTCTCGGAAAGCTTCTGGAGTTCGCTCAGTACACCTGTCGATGTGTCGACATGTGTTACTGTGACAACCTTGTACTTCTTGCTCTTCAATGCCTGCTCGATTTCGGGCAATTGCGGCCGACTGCCAACGGGGGCTTTCAGAAGATCGACCTTTGCACCGTAGACTGTAAGACAGTCGGCAAACCCATCGCTGAAGTAACCGGAGCTGAGAACTAGGACATCTTCGCCAGGTTCGACAAGGTTTGCTGCTACTAGATCCCAACCAAGCGTGCCGGATCCCGAGATGACAAAAGGTTGTGAAGATGGCGAGGTAGTCTGGAAAAGCTTACGCAGCATCGACAATGCCTCACCAAACGTAGCAACGAAACCCGGTCCGACATGCGACTCGCTAGTAGTTGTATATCAGAGAAGTATCCTGTTATAAGAATGCGCGCGCGTAGCTATTTGGTACAAACCTGTAATGGCTCATGGACTGTAATACAGCATCGTCGAACTCAATGGGGCCCGGGATGAGCAGAGTCGGGTGTTCGGGTTGAGATGACATTTTGGCAGATGACGAAGAAAAGCTACGGCTCTGAGCTGGAGGAGAAATATTACTTGGGAAACTGGGATTCGAAGGGGATTGAGCAGCTCCTAATAAGTGTCGTGATATAATCGAGACGCGGGCTGCGGGGTTAGAAGCAGTGAAAGTCGCTGTCTTGAGTAGATGGTGGGGCATGTTGCCGACCACCGCTCCGGCGGCCTTCCGTATCGTTACTGAGTAAGCCAGTTTTCGTCCCCTATAATAAAACCTGCCTACTGTAATGTAGGCCGGTTTTAGTAGAGCTTGACTCGTGTATATCTTGTCTTAGAACTTCATATGTGTATATCAATTCCTGAAGTAAACTATCTCGAGTAATATCCACTTGAGCTCCAGGATTCGTAAAAAGGAGTGTATTGTTATTGCATTGCAAGTTCAATTCACTTACAGACAGAAGCTATGAAATGCTAAGAGAAGAAGCGTTGGGGAATCTTGTAAGCAGTTATAGAATTTTATTTGCTAATCGCCTAATTCTTAGAGGTAAATCTCCCCCACTGCCTGTAGTCTAATCGCATATAGTAAGCCACGGCTATTTCCCGACATGAAATAGGTTAGATAGCTGCTTCAAGTTCAGAGTTTTGAGAAGTGCATAACCTCCGTATTCGGCCGCATTTTATTGATCCGACTTAGACAAAACGTAAGAGAGAGAGCAACGGCAATTACGTCCGAAGTTGATCTCATCTTATTAAGCTTACCTAAGGTTCCTTGTAACAGTGCGAGCGCCAAGATACTGTATTGTACTTCGTACCTAACCTGACCTACCTCAATCTGGGGTACGTACCAATAGCTTGAATTGCGGGGCCTGCAAAGCTCCCGACCCTGAGAGTTCAACGTCAGCCTCGCAGGTTTGAGGATAGCTTCACTACCCAATTACGTACATCTCGTTGACATGTGAGCATGCAGCTCTTGTAATTCTCCTCAAGTCTCCGACGGTAAAAGAGATCTATACGAAATTCTAGCGAATATCCCGGCCTAGCCGTCCTCGAACCGTACTACTTCGAAACAGTAGCGGTGTTGCCTGCGCATACGTATACATTTCCATTGTCCGATCAACCTACCCAAATTGCTTCCTTTCGAACCGGTCGTAGAACGAATAGTCTCGGTATACCTGGGAGATTCTAGGTCTCCATCAATTCATAACCAATGGCCTTCCTCATCCTAGTGATCGGGGACCTCCACATCCCCGACCGCGCTCTCGACATACCGCAAAAGGTGCGACGGACGGCCAGCCCTATCTCCCATCCTCCACCCCCAGGTGCCGCTGCTAACATTTTTAATCTTGTAGTTTAAGAAACTCCTTTCGCCGGGAAAGATCGGACAGACGCTATGCCTGGGCAACCTGACGGACAAGCACACGTACGAGTACCTACGTTCGATTGCGCCGGACCTGAAAATCGTCAAGGGCCGCTTCGACGTAGAAGCGACATCACTACCGCTGTATCAAATCGTAACACACGGGTCGCTGCGCATCGGTTTCATCGAAGGATTTACACTAGTATCAACCGAACCAGACTTGCTACTCGCCGAGGCCAATAAGTTAGACGTGGATGTGCTATGTTGGGGCGGAACCCACCGATTCGACGCCTTCGAGTATATGGACAAGTTCTTCGTGAACCCGGGCAGTGCTACAGGGGCGTTTACGACGGGGTGGACGAAGGAGGGCGAGGACATGGTGCCTAGTTTCTGCTTGATGGATGTGAGTTACACCGGGTCCTAAGCACAGGGGTAGCAAGACCAGCTACTCGTTCATTCCAACTCCTTACTAACAATCAAATACAGGTACAAGGTATATCCCTCACCCTCTACGTCTACCAGCTCCGCAAAGATGAAAACGGGGTGGAAAACGTCGCGGTAGAGAAAGTAACATACACAAAACCCGTAGAGCCAACGACAGGCGGGTCGTCGTAATCTTTAAAAAGGAATGCATGGATATCTAGATCAACGAATACCCCAAGCATCAAAGATGTATTCTCACGATGAAACTAATAGCAGGCCATTCTACTAGCCTCGATAAATCATATAATCACAATCAACCATTGGGAATTAATCGAGAGAAAAAAAAGACTTGATTGGTATCCTGAGTACACTGAGTCCGTCTGTCTGTCTACACTCCAAACGCCATGAAAAAAAATATGAGATGAAGAAAGTCTCGACGCTCGCTTCAATTGTGATTACTTAATCGATATTCAACCCCCCTAAGCAGAAAACTTCGCTCAAACGACCGTACGAATCATCATCATAGTGCAGCAGGGCTTATTTTTTCTCATAACATCATACTCCTCCGCCTCATCGAGGCCCTGTCCCGTACGGAAGCGTCCACATCTCCGGAAGAGGAGCTGTTCAAGCTGTCTCCTTCCATGGAGCTATCATGCCCTGCATTTTCTATATCCATCTTCGACTCTTTCGACGCTGCCATGGTTGCTCGTCTGGATCCCGCGTGCCTCGGTGCCTTCTCGTGATTTTGGCTCTCCGCATCTAGTTCCAAGTCTTCACGAGCCACTGATGATAGTCGCCTTGACCTCGATTGTCGAGATCCCTTGGTATTCCTCCTCTTGGAAGTCTCCTCCGTTGTTGCCGTACGCTTTGAACCATCTTTCGGTGACGAGCTAGGAAAATCGTAAACGTCGGCCTCATCGTCAAATATTTTCGCTACTTCAGCCTCCCGAGCTGCGATCTCGTCTACGCGGCGACCAGCTGCTCGGGAGCTCGACTTAATTGCATTGCTTTCACCGCTGGAACAAGCCGAAGATTCAGCATCAGCCCGCTTTTTCGTATCCATTGCTACACTCATGGTCAAGTCGTCCGAAGACGCTTTCGAGCCTTTCCGTGCTAGGGGACTAGCCATAACATCTAGGTTCGTTCTTGACATGTTGCGATCAGCAGGCAGATCCTTCCATGATCCTAGCTTCCCCTCTGATTTGACAACTGACGAAGGGTTCGACGAAGGGAATTCGTCCTTCTTCGACTGGCTAGTTCGTCGTATGTGTTTGCCTTCGCCTGACACGGCGTCAAGTAGCTGTTTCGTAGGCCGCCGCATCTTATCCCGAAGATTTGGCTCAGCATAACTAACTGCCGTCCTAGCTCTACGGCTGCCTCGTGATGTTTCCCCTCTTGAGGAAATATCAGTAGGAGGGGGTGTATCCCTTACTTCCTCCCTCGGGGTTGCCTCCGGAGTATCAGGCACGGCTAAGTTGGGTTCCGAAGAAAGCGTCTCGGTCTCGATTTCTACGTGCGCGACAAATATCGGCTGAGGTTCGGGGACCGGTATCTCAACTGGAATAGTCTTTCTTCCCTTAATATCTTCCTTTGTGACCTCTTCTAAAGTCGGAGGCTTCGCAGCCTTTTTTGGCGACTTAATATGTTCGTTCGTGCTTTTGGCACCTAATGGCCTTCTTTGAGTTACCGAGCTAGACGATTTATCTCGAACCTCTCTCCGGTTTGATGGAAGCTTGATCGGCCTGTTGATGGACTGGGGTTTGACGTTCGCCGCCTTCTCTGGTTGATCCTTTGCAACCTCAATAGATCGGATCGGCGGCTTAGACATTACGGGATTCTCCTTCTCATCCTCTTCTCTCAGTTTCCTCTTCAAGTTGGCCTTACCAACTTGAGTAGTAGGCTGAGATTCCGCTGTGTCTATCGCTTTCGGCTCCATCGGCTCCATCAGCTCCATCGGCTCATCATTAACTTCAGGAATATCGCTGACTGGTTCGTCTGCTCTTTCATCTTTCTTGGGGGAGGGTGTTGATTGTTGTTTAGGCTGGGGATCAGATGATGCCTTCTCTAGAGACGCGTAATCTGACTTGGAAGGGCTATGTCTTGGGGGTAAATCAATCTTCACGGGATCTTCGTCAACAAATCGTGATACTGGCGGGGGTCCAAGATCTGGGGAATCTTCATTGTCATCAACGACGGCGCGTAACGCGAGGATTTCCTCCCGGCTACAAAATTAGTATGCATTGCTTACAACAACAGCTTCACAGGCACAACTCACTTTAGTGTTTCGCGGGGGCACGTTTTATTTTCCCAGATCGGCGCCAACCTGCCTTCTTGAAGGGCGGCAACTTCCAAGTCTTTCATCGAGCTTACAGTATCTCTCCTCCTCCATTCAGACATGCTGATACGCCCAATGCTTGACCTGCGTTTTACTCTCTTCGGTTCTCTTGGTGATCGACTTCTCGGGGTGGGCTCGTGCCCCAAACTCGCAAGCATAGTTCCCCATTCTGCCAGTTGGGCTTCCATCTTCTCCTTGATCTCGAGGGCATGGTTGGCAATTTTTTGCGCTCTACTATCTTCTAACTCTGATTGGAGTCGCAGTATTTGCCCTCGAAGATCAAGGTTTTCGGATAATAGGCGAACACATTCATTCTCTAAAGTACGTATTTTGAGGGACTGGGTTGAATTTACTCGGGCGATATCTCTGTTTTGTCGCAAGAACTTTCTGCGCACTAGGACAGAAGGTAATTAGTTGACATCATCAGTGACGTGCAGACTGTAGCTAGGGACATACGCGTTTCTACGCTGTCTGTTGACACCATTGGCTCGTTGAGTCGTGCCATTGTAAAGACATGAGGCGGAAGGAATTCGAGATGATTGAAGTTTTATAGCAGTAGTCTAGAAAGCCTAGTTACCATGCAGGAGGGTATTGTTGGTAGCAAATAAGGCAAGACTTGTCGGAAGCAACAGTATGCAAGACGATAGTTGCTGTTTGATGTGCGGTGAAAGAAAATCAAAGTTTTGGTCAAGTTTGGTCAAGGAAATGAGTTGGCAAGGTAGCTGGCTCCACAGTGCATGTCAACAAACTTCCGAATGGGGTATAGCAACGCACAATTATGACCAGCAATTTTATACAGGGGTTACCTACCTATGGTAGCATCCACATATTCACGTCACACACTAAGGCATATGTACCCAATCTGCCACTTATCGACTTATCGACTTATCGATAATACTTGCCATTTACATTTACACATGCAAGTCGCAACTAAGCATTCTACACAGCAAAGCTGGGTATTCCAGAAAGATACCTACGATGGCGTTTTCTTCGCGCACGCTACCTGGCCATATACGCCAAGCCTCTACCTCGAGCAATCCCAGTGCTCAGTCTGCAGGTCAGTCAAGCGCACTTCTCGCCCGAGTCAATGAGAAGAAGGCGGAGCTTGAGAATCTAAAGGAGCTGCGGGAACTTAGCGCAGCTGTAGCAAATCAGATGGAAGCTCTCGAACAAAAACTTGCCACTCTATCGGATGGGACAGAAGGTGCGCGCATTCAGATAGACGTCTTGCCCTTATGGCTGGCTAACTAGGCGTGACAGCGATTGCGATGGTATTAGGAAACTGGCATAATGTTCTACGAGCTATCAACATGGCGTCAGGTATTTTTACATCCGCATATGAAGCAACATACAAAATTTCGTCTTATTGACCAATCTCGTAGCCAAAATACCGAGTCCACGAAACGCAGAGGAAACTGCATCCAAAGACCAGGAGCCTTTACCTCTACCGCAGACTCTAGTGCGAATACCGACGGAACATGCACCGGCGTTGCAAGCCCAGACTGAAGCGATCATGGAGAGCGAACATAACTCATCCTCAATCTCATAAGGTCAAATAGCCAAAGAGATTAACTCGCCCCGCTAGACAATAGGTACACATTTTCAGACACCTAAGATGCCGTCAGGAGCAAACACACCTACCATACTATTCATATAGAACTTGCTATTAGGTATCCGGCGTAGTCATTTAATGGTCTCTGACTGGAGCACTTACATATATATCCCGCATTCTATGTGGTCTGTTTTTATAGGGCCAACAGTTGCAGGAGTTGGGTTTAGTTGAGAATGTTTAAACGGCTATGGCTCCGGTGCAGTAGTCTAGGTATAATGCAAGCTCCTGCAGGGAATCCCCACGGAGGGAAGTGGGGGAAAGTTCGCGTGCGGATCCGCGTCAGATCGCGTTTCTTAATAAGCCACTATTTAGGAAAAAGCATCTAACGTACCTAAGGTAGTTACACCTTGATGAAAGTCAATAGCACTAGCTCATGTTGAACTATTGAGTGACGAAGTTTCCAGTAAAATTGAATTGAATAACGTATGTACCTCCTAACCTTATGTAAGTTATACCAGAGGGCAAGTGCGTTAGGTACTGCTGCTGCTGTGTCTTAGGTATCAACCAGCAAACGTTGCAGTTCAAAATCCTAAAGATGGGATTCGTCTCTTCTACATACAACATCAATCATTCTCCAGACAGCATCACAATCTAATTCGCCCACATTACCCAATTGGAAAGAAAGGTAACCGTAGCTTTTGCTAATCTACAAGGGATACATGTGACTTTAACTCCCCCGCCAACACTTTGCTCATCGGCGACCCCGTGCTTTCGATCATTAGCCCGGAACCAAATAATAAGTCTCATTAAACCCTTGCTTGGGACCCCTGAGCCGTGCACCCTAAGCTGCCTCACTTTTGGTACTTATCTATTATTGGCCAATCTCGTCCAATCGAGATGGCCGTTATTCCCTCGAGAGTCGAGATCCTCAGTGATACGAGCTCCAACGAAGATGATCCCTCCTCTCATGACAGCTTCAAATCCGACAACTCTACTCTTTGTGATCTTTCCGTTTCTCAGCTCCAGAATCGCTCAAGTGCCTGTTCTAACCCAGCAGTCGAGTCGCTTACTACATGCCTGAAGAAGCTTCAAATAGACACGGAAACTTGCAACACTGGAGCCAACTGGAGTGATAACCAAAAGAATCAAAGTCGACGTCGCCTAACAAGGCCCGCAATCGCGGCCAACACCTTTGAGGTCCTTGAAACCGTCCCCGAAGACGAGTCACTGCGCTCATGCACATCTGCATCTACGAGTATTTCTAACGAGACACGATATCGCTTCGAACTCCCTGCTTCAGGTACGTATTTCCGCAGCATGTATCAAAATGTCTTGCGTCGGGGTATACTAACCTAACGCTCCTAGCAATCGAGAAATTCTCAGACCATACTTTAGTGGAAATTGCACGCAGAGGCATACCCTCAGCCAAAGAACAATTGGCGAAGCATCGCGAAGGCTGGTTTGAAGGAATAATTTCTACAAAAATACCCATCAAAACTTCTACACAGTCCAGCGCTGCGCCAAGTTTCAAGGCAGTACACCTTGGCTTCAATCTCTTGCCTATTAACGATAACGCCCCCCGCGGGAGTCCGACCGAGGCTGATGTTCTTGCACGTTTTATAGCTCTTGTGTCACCTTTAGCTCCCGGGGAAGAAGTTCTAGCAGACGACGAGCAGCCCGCAAGACCAAACATGGCTCTTGCAGAACCCAGTCGCAATCACCTTGCGCCGGTTAAGGAGTTGGAGTTACCCTCAGAGGATAGAACCCGGCAATCTACCCCTACTTCACCTAGTTCAGTTAGAAGCAAGGATAGACATGTCGAGGTCATTGTCCCGAGATCACCCGCACAACCTATCGCTAGAATCGAGGATTCCGTGGAGGCGCTTGACGAACTTGAAGAGCAATTAGAAGCATTTGATGAGGCAGCCCATTTCAAGCGAATTATCTCTCCAAGAACCCCGGGTTCCGGGCACAAACCCGCAGTGCCATTACTATCCGTGACGAACGCCGGGATTACGAGGTCTATAACCCCACAACCGAAGCGAACTACTCCAGTGGTGAGTAGCTCTGCCTCTATAAGGATAAATTCGACCAGCGAGCCCCGGCGTACTGTTCGCAAGGCGGCATCTATGATATTCCTTGATCCCCCAAAATTGAAGAGTGAGGATAAACCTGCAACCCAGGCCCCATCGAAGAGGTCGTTCTTCAAAGGCATAGCAAGTCTCCTACCACCAAGGCAGCCACCCAAGTCGAACAAGAAACCCACTATTCCAACCTTTGAACTACCCGGGGACGAAGTCGCTCGCAAATTAAAAGAAAAACGCGAGGCCCGCATATCGACGCAAGCCGCCACGGAACAAGCGACAAAACCAACTATGTCAAGCCTTCGACGTGCCAAGTCAGCTAAGGCTCCAACACGGCCTAACTTCGAGCTGCCAGGAGAAGCCATCTCCCGTCGCAAGCGCGAAGAGCGTGAGGCGCAGCTACGAGCACAGGAAGAAGAGGAACGGAAGAGAAGAGAATTCAAGGCCAGACCAATTCGATCGGGTGCTGCACCCAGTACCTTTCCCCGCGAGACAGCTGCGAGCCGGGCTCGGCAAAGTAAAGTACACTTGGTGGAAAATTCAACTCAGCAGAATTCGCCGGGCCGGAACAAAGGCGCATCCACGACTACTAATCCCACATCACGCTCTCCTCTTTCAAAGACGAACAACCAATGTCAACCACGGGGCCGGGGACTACAACCACAACCATCCGGAGTGCAGCCGCCTCGTGGTGTTTCAAGCTCTACGGTAGACAGCACCGGTGGGCAGCATAGTTCGGTGTCCACAGAAGATATACAATATCAGAGACTACGTGGTCAGGAGATCTACAAGCGGGATAACTCTTGGACCGGGGAACGAGAGCGTGAGAGACGAGAACGGGAAGCACTAGCTAAACTAGCACGAGAAGAAGCCGCTGAAAGATCTCGACAGCAGAGCCGGGAGTGGGCGGCGAAGCAAGCGAGGAAGAGAATGACCATTGCCTCACTGCGGGATGTCATGGCTTGAAAGGTCACCAGCAACATATTGATTGGCAAGGGGAATATTGTTTTCACAGAGTTTCAGGGGTATATCAGTGGAGGGACTGAAGTGTATTAATATGTGTATTTGCATGGTGCGTTAGGGGGGTTTTAAAAGCACTGAGCCCGGCGTTCAACGGTAGTGTTGCGGGCCGGTTATTGCGTTACCCAGGGAGTCATTCGTGTATAGGTGTAGTCGATGCTGACTTCTAGGTTGGTGTCGGCTTTTTTTCAACTAGTTGTATTATTGGCTTTAATGCATTGATGGAAGATAATGCAGAGTTTTTAATTAAGACCATTACGTCGAGCTATCGGCATTGTAGTTGATATATTTAACCAGTGTCCGGTGATGTCGGCGTACAGACTTGCCGTGAATTTCTAGACTAGAACTAAAAGCACGATGGAAATATAGACTAGTTACAACTTATTCCCCGTTTAAGCTCATCTATTAAAGCCTCCATTAAGCCACATGTGACTATAATACTAAAAATGTCACTACAGACTATTAGTTGACGATCCCGACCGGATTTAGGACTCGTATAAGACTCCAAACCCGAGTATAAATATCTGTATGCATATGTACGTATACCCACTCTCATACATTCAAGGTTCCATGTATCAACTTCTCCCGTCAGCAGATACGTGTACTACATACAATACTAGTCCAGGTACATATATTGTCTTAAACCCATCGCTTCAAAATGGGCGGTGTGACCATCATCAAACACGTCCGTGTCTTCGACGGCGAGGCTGTTACGGGGCCTAAATCGGTGGTCATCGAGGGGTCACATATTGGCGAGGACGCACTTGCTGACGACCCAGATCCATCAGGGACTGTGGTCGTCGATGGAACGGGTTGTACGCTGTTGCCTGGCCTAATCGACTGCCACGTGCATATCCGCGACGAGGCGCAGCTGGCTTCATGTGCGTCTTTTGGTGTTACGGCAGTGTGCGATATGGCGTGAGTAGAAGATAAACAAGAAAAGGATAATAGCCTAGTTACTGGAACTAATAGTTTCCGTTTCTAGGAGCATTCCGCTGGAGAAATATGTAAAGCTACGTGCGGCAAAGACACCAACGACGTGGCTTAGCTCCAGTCTCCCCGCGTATGAGGTTAGTGGTATAATTATGTTGGTTTGGGGGCGGTTTGTATAAGTTGCTTACTCGCAATCTACTTCCAATTACACTCACCGAGTAGTTGTCATCAGATAATGTAGCATTTACTAATATGCCGACGCCAATAGGAGAACTCCAGGCATGGTAAACTATTCAAACTAAGCAGTGTCTCGCCCGACAATGCAGTCCACAACACCGATGAAGCAGCCAAGTTTGTGCAAAATCGAATCGATGAAGGGGTCGACTACATCAAGATCATCGCTGATTTCCCAGGCCATGAGCAGGCTGTTCTGAATAAAATTCAGGTCGAGGCAAAAAAGCACGGGAAGATGACGGTTGCTCATACAGCTCAGTACTTGGCATTCGAACGCGGACTACAAGCCGATTTCGACGTGCTGACACACGTGCCGATGGACAAAGCGCTCGATGATAGCATCGTTGGTAAGATGGTCAGCCAAAAGACAATTACGGTACCAACGCTATCGATGATGGAAGCCATGACCAGTAGTTGGATTTTGTGGGGAATTAGCTGGGTCATGCCGGGACTGAGGGGGAGGAAGTTTCAGTATTCACTAGATAGCGTGGCGGCGATGCGCAACGCAGGTGTGCCCATACTCGCCGGCACAGATGTGAATAATAGCGGCATCGTTACGATCGTGGCCGGGAAATCATTGCATCACGAATTGGAGCTGCTCGTACGTGCTGGATTATCACCTGTTGAAGCCCTGAGGGCGGCTACGTCGTTGGCTGCGCAGCATTTTAATCTCCCAGATCGGGGCCGAATCTCACCGGGTCTTAGGGCCGACTTAGTTCTGGTGGAGGGTAATCCGGACAAAGATATCACCGCGACACAAAAGATATCGAGGGTTTGGAGCAATGGCAATGAAGTAGCAGTGGCTGCGGTGTCACAAGGAACCATTTTAGGAAGTTGCGCGGTTATGTAAATGCTTCAGCTGGTGCGACGTATTATCACTGTGGGCGCGATGGAGGGCAGGAACGGTCTCTTGTTGGTCAGAGATCCAGAAGCTTAATTTCGCTTGGCATCCAACCAGTCGACCGAGTAAGCTATGGAATGGCAGGAACCGGCTTTGATCTAGAACAGCCTAGCAGCCCAGGAATACGGGACACCCTTTTTGCCAAGTGATCCAACAATGGCTTGACGGTGGGGACCTTAAAAGCACGTTTAGACCTCGTCGATCATCGCGTCAATTGCTCAATTGATATCGCCAATTATGCTATTCTTGTTTGATCGGCAATGCTATAATCGTGGGTCGTTAGCATCCGACGGCGTCAAGTTTGCGCTTTTGGTTTGAAGTTATCAATTGCGATTGTGACGCTTCTAACTTGTAAGAAGACGACTTATTTTTACCCCCTTTATGTCATACAAGTTTCTTGCATTGTAGGACCAAAGGGGCACGTGTAACCGTGTAACTGACGTCTCTGGAGAAAAGAAACAGATCCAATAGCCGATGATGCCATAATAAAATACATACCCGCCTACCTAAGGTACATACTTGTAATACGACATGGTATGCATCAAAGTTGTAAGAGGGAAACCTTAGGTTCAATTGCTGACGGACAATGGGATGAATAATGGAACAATAAGAAAGTACTGTCGAATTCTACATGTAACTACCATAATAAACTCTAGCCTTACATAGGAATGTACCTCCGAGATACCGAGAAATGGTGCCGCCAGCGCATAGAATTTGCAAGTACCCAAAATGGCACCATTTGTACAACATTCACCCTATGTATGGGAAAGTCCTGCAGCTTTGTTTCTCACCCCAGTCCGAGTCCAGGCAGGTCCAGACTCACAATAGATAACAAGCATCACCACCTTACCAAAGGGCCTCCCGGGCCTACATAATGTTTCAATAGCCCCGTAAAAACCATCTGCTCCTACAGATGTGACTGATCTTATTGATTTACCGATGTGAATCTTCTTTCGTCATTAACCGCCCTTACTTATGTTCCATTAAGACATTGTACATACAAGTCACATTTACAAATAACCTCTACCGTCTACCGTCTACGATCTACGGAAATACCTTTTCTTATTACCGCTAATCTGCCAACCTATTCCTATTAAGCTTTTTGACCCCCGGACAACTAAAGTTCCACTAGTTCCTTTATGCTCCGCCTCTATATCCGCTCTCCAGCAATAATCATAGTCGTAGGCGGCACAGTTATCCGCAGCTGCAGCCTGTAGGAACTTAGAAGAGAAGGTCAAGCTTTAAGAACCCGAGCTGCCCGAGTTTAGGTAGTCAAATGACAGAGCCCAAGAAGGAAAATGTCTTTATCATTACCATAGAGCCACTCAAACCCCCTTCTTACCCGCCGAGCCACCGCGACCTTCTCCATGGCCAAGAAACAATGGACCAACATTCGCTCGGGGACACTGAGAGTTCCAAAGCAATAATTCCTGAGGCTCCGGACAACAAGAAGACCTCGGGTTCAAGAATACCACGGTGGTTTCAAATTCAAGCGACTAAGATCCGTACAAGCCGGACTCGCCAGGCCCTCCTCGCTTTCTTTTTTGTTATCGTTGTCGTTCTTCTCGCTGTTCTCCTATGGTTGGACAACAGTGGACACTTGCAGGAAGCATTCAAGGTATGAAAGGGAGACAGACAATGCCTTACTTCTTTATACAACCCATCGGCTTGGCACGAGTTGCGATTGTCAAATAACATCCCTTTGTATCCTCCCACCACATTCCCATCTCGTGCTTAGCCATCAAGCCTGCCGAGATTGCCGAACTTGGCATCTCAATTAACCCTGCTATTTCTCGCACCCTACCGAATCCCGTATCGATATTATTTGTTACACCAGAGCTAACAATGCAGTAGAAAACAACACAAGTCCAACTAAATCAAGGGACTTATCTTGGCGAGGTTGTGGAGCAAAGCTCAAAACTTCCGCGCAGCATCGAAGCGTTCCGCGGAATACCATATGCGCAGTCAACAGCTGGCAACAATCGCTTCAGACCTCCGCAACCAATAAATGGCACAGAAAGCCATGTCCAACGCGCCCTCACTTTTGGTCATGTCTGCCCCCAGGGTACAGGTGGGAAAAACCAAGGCGAGGATTGTCTAAACCTTAATATTTTCAGACCTTATTTTAGCAATGACCCGGCGACCGCTGAAGCCGAGATGGCAAAGCTTGGGGTTAATAGCACGAAGTTACCGGTAGTGATATATGTTCATGGCGGTGGATTTAATTCTGGAAGTGGCCAGGAGAGGAACATGATGACATTTGCATCATGGTCTGAGACCCCTCTTATTGGCATAAGCTTCAACTACCGGGTTGGAGCCTTGGGCTTCCTGCCGAGCGGAGTAACCGCCAAGGAAGGTCTGCTAAATATTGGGTTGAAGGACCAGCAGGCACTTTTTAAATGGGTGCAAGACAACATAGCTAACGTTGGCGGTGACCCGAAAAATGTTACAATAATGGGATTAAGTGCTGGTGCCCACTCGGTAAGTGCCCGCCTTCGTGACTTTTGGCCTGTGATGACTTATACTAACATCATCTCAAGATTGGACATCACTTAATATCGTACTCGTCTGCGAATAAGCTGACATCGGCACCTGCACCTTTTCAAAAAGCAATCCTCGAATCCGGTGGATCGACTGCTCGTGCTACCTTCAACCCTACTCACCCGCTTCACGAGCAACAATTCCAAGAATTCTTGACAAACTGTGGATTAGATGGTACCCCCGACGACAAGATCTTCGAAGAGCTCCGTGCTCTTCCCTTGGACAAAGTCGTTTCTGCATCTCACAGCGTATACCGGCACTGGGATCCGAGTATACGTTGGCCCTTCCAACCTACTATCGATGGTCCCGGAGGAATAATACCAGATCTGCCTATTAAGTCTTGGGAGAAGGGACATGTGCTACGCATCCCAATAATGACGGGTTACAACACAGATGAAGGCGCTGATTTCGTCCCAACTCACTCAAGTAACTCGTCGACGATGCGTACACTAATGTCTACTATTGTTCCGTCTCTTAATAAGACAGACCTAGGAACGCTAGACTCATTATATCCTGATCCCAGCACCACGCGCGGGGAAGCATTGTACATTACTAAACCACCTGCTGGCTTTGGATCACAGTTTTGGAGGTTGGACGACGCGTACGGTCATTACGCGTACATCTGTCCTGTGCTGCAGACGGCACATTTGGCCTCTACGGCGACCGATGCCAGTCCCGTCTACGCGTATCATTACGCCGCTCGATCGAACAATCACGGCGGTGCAGACCATGGCGACGAAGCCCCTATCGTAGCTCACGACATGGATGTCGTTAGCAAGTATCCAGGCATCATGACGATGGCGGATTCTATGAACGGCTTCTGGACTCGGTTTGCGGTTACAGGAGACCCAAATTCAGGACCGCATAGGAACGATACGGTTGGGTTCTCGTGGCCAAAGTTTATTAGTCCGTTCGTCAACGACACCGCAACCGCTAACAACGCGGAAAACGTAGGGAAAGTGGCCCTATTTGGCGAAGGTAACGACGAACGCATGGGGGTCCGCGGACGGCAGAACATGGGTATCCCAGCACAGATGGGTAACTTGACAGAGCGATTACGGGATGAGTGCCGCTTCTGGTGGGATAAGGTGATATTTAGTGAAGGCTTTGGAAACGGAAGCACGGCGTTGTCGAGTATCAGCCAGAAGACTGAGGCGGGAGCGAGGTTATTATAAACCTGGTCTGTATAAATGAAAGGGATGGGAACGGTTATCGAACTTATATAAAGTCTGGCCGGGATACGGAGGAGTTAGGACACTTGTTAAAGTGTGTCTTGGGAACGCGCACGAGCGATGATACCCTGGTTTGTCTTGAGGGGGCAGTTTGACGGATCGGTATGACTTTGTTACGATGCATGAGCAACGGCGTTTGGGGACATAGATGTGTCTTGATAAAAGGGAGGTGTTTGGACTGGAAGGACTTCGAATTGAGGGTTGGTGTATATTTGTTAGAGTTGATATCTAAGTAAATCTATGGTATATATCGAACTTATTATTAGTTGTACTACCTATTCCGAGGGGATTTCGTTAATAAATATATTGCATTAAATAGACTAATATACTGAAGACTTATATGTGATTATTTTATATCCAACGTAGGTAAGTAGTTGGTACGTAGATAGAATGGATGACATCTACAATGCTGTGAAGTTTATTTGATATTCTACTTCATGCTATTGAGTATTTTATTCCCTTTGTCGGTTTCGCCACGAGATAAATATATCGAAAAAGGTATCAGGACGCAGTATGTAGTATTACATAGGAGGTACTTCGTACATATCTCCTGTTGATCTTGAAGATCTATTAGGTAGGTAGGCAACCTAGGTACTTATTTAGATTCATATAGAAGGGATTGATTGACGGAGAATAATAAGAGATGGGGGTGTTTTGCCGTATCGGCGAATATCTAGGTTACATCCATGTCTTAATCGCGAATACATTAGGTACCTGAAGTAGGTGAGTTGGATAGGTACCTATACATATCTCACCGGTCTCTTTTAAAAGACGAAATTATAAGAAGAAGAGAAAAGTAGACCGAAATACCTAGTAAATCAATCGCATGAATTGTAGTATGTAATTGTCTACAGAATATTATTAGATATATTAAATATGTACCTACCTATATGTACTCAGGGCGAGTAAATGAATTTCACCGGTTGCTCGATGGAGAATTAATTTGTCCGTTAATTACACCGACTCGCGCCAACGATCTAGATGTAAGTGATTACTAGGTACTATAAAGTCTAGATGCTCTAAGTGAATGATACATACCTAAAGCAACCTAGATATCTACTTGGTTAAGCTTCATGAACATAGCTACCTAACCTAATGCTGAGGCCACTAGATATACCGAATATTCTCTGTTCGGAGTTGGTTCTATAGATGTATCGTACGAATTAGGATTTAGAGAACTATTTGCCATACAACACGACTGAGACATCCGCAAAGGTCTGTAAATCGGAAAGTATACTTCCCTCTATCGTCACCTATATATTAGTAGCTACCTAGGCTATAACGACAAAGCAATAGCAGCTTAAGTCACTATCTTACCATAGTATACCGTATTTTCTATAATCCCCATGCTACCAATTAAGCTAGGAATAACTACGGACTAGCTCACTAAAGGGTACGGGGCGGGAGGATTGGTAAACTATTAGCTTCACGTATGGCTACCTAACCAGTTCACCGACATCTGAGTAATAATGAATAATGGTAGTGGTTGTGGTTACGAAGATATAGATGGTGGCAATATACTCATTTTCTTGTATTCATGCGCATATTCGTGTCCTGGGTTTATGCCAGGCCACCAGTCAGGAGTAATGGTAGATCTAAGCTACAGTCATGTTGCATTCGACTATTGACTCCATTCCCGTCTGGAACGCGTGTTCATGTTTTTTGCAAGATCGAACGTCGAAAGCAGCGGAGATAGATGCCGGCAACGAAACTACCAGACACCGAGGGGGCAAGTAACGATGTGTGAGGATATTTGTGATTGATTGACAGGTAGGCGGGCAGCTCGCTCAAATCCAGTTGGAACTCCCCTATCCAACTAGCTGGCGCACAAGCGGGGCGGAAGGCGGTGTGTGCTCAATTTAGTCCTCGTCCATCTTGTCGCCGTCGTGCTCCTCGACCGCGGGCTCGTAGTCATCCTCATCGTCGTCATCGTCGTCCTCGGCAGGGTTGTCTTGAGCTGCCTTGGCCCAGTCGATGACACGACCTCGAGTACGTCGACCGCCCTCTACGATATTGCCAGGATCGATCTCGTCTAGGTTGTCATCGGCGTCGTCATCACCTACGCGGGTTGCGTTAGTAAGAGTGTGCAGTAAGGATGCTGCTGGTCATGGGAAAAGCTTACCGCCCTCACCCTAGGAGAATGTTAGCTTGGTTCAATATTGCTAGTATGGGCGTGAAGTGATAATAGTAGAACGCTAGGAAACGTACCTCTTCCTCTTCATCCTCGTCTTCCTCGTCCTCATCCATAGTGGTGTCAACCGGCTCCTGGGCCGCCTTGCCCTTGCCCTTGGTCTGGATCTCCTCGGCCTTGGAGGCAGCAGCGTCTCCGGGGACGGTAACGCCGTTATTGCTAGCCATCGTGACTTTTGAGTTCGGGGGGATACGTATATGAGTGTATAAGAGTACTGGTGATAAGATGCAGATGAAGAAACGGTGGGTGAGATTGAACAATGGCGAAATTGAAGTCGCGAGAGCAGCGCAATCGGATTCAGATGGTGAGTTGGAAAAGGTGGAAAAAAGTAGACCGTAGACCGCTGAGAAAGAAAAAGGTACCTGCGGGTTATGTTTATTGGTTGCTACTGGTTGCTGGGTGCAAACTCCAGCTGCGCTCTAGAACTTAATCCAGGATTGGAAGGCAAGCTAATGCGTTTTTGGTAGTGGCTCCCAAGTATGCTAACGCGATTGGCTGATTGCTTTTTTAGAAGATGGGAACAGTACAGAATACTTGGATACAAGACACACGTATTTGTCTATGAACGTGTAGTTGATGCAGTACACAATCTTGTGAAATTCTGTATAGATGTGTGTTTAGTAGACTGATACGTCTAATGAGCACAAGTGTTCTAAATTGACCCTATAGAGTTTATCCTAAGTAAACTGATATACTTTCCCAGTGCTGGCTTTGATCACGGTAGAATCAGGAGAGCCGGATGAGGTGATATAAAACATAGTCAAGACTACCAGCATACAAAGAGAGATCATATAGCCCGAATAGAAAGGATCAGGATATCCTCAATTAAACTCGTATACAACTGTCTAATCTATCATTTGCCCTGTTCACCACCGCCTCCAGTCAATGTCATCATAACCACAATACCTATCAACCACCAATACCTATAACACCCAGTTAGCAAACGAATTACCAGCAAACCCAACAACCAGGTATAGACCAAAGACAAAAAAAAAAAAATACTCACTTCTGGAAAAACGACTTCTCCTCCGGCACCACCGTCTTGCCCTCCGGCGAAAGCACAATCGGCTTATTCAACTCAGGCTGCTTCCCCGGCTCCGTAACAAGCAACAAAGCCTGCGGGCCAAAATCGCGCGTCTGCCCAGCATCAATCCTGACCCCCTTAAGCGCCGCCCCAAACGCATCGCCCTTCTGGTCCACGGACAGTATCAGCGTAGGCGAGTATCCCTTGCCGAAGTTATCCACGGACGCAACCGAGGTCGACGACTCCCACCGCTTCGTCGCCGGGTTGTACACCCCGATGCGCACTAGCTTAGTCTCGTCTGGTAACTCGGGTGCTTCGTACGATACGATTTCTGCTTTGGGTGCGGCGGCGGCGGAGTTGTACCGGATCTCGGCGAGAGGTGTGGGTGCCGGTGGTGATGGCGATACGGGTTGGATGTATATTGCTGCTGTTCGGTTGGCGGCGCTGGCTGAGCTGGCCAGGGCTAGGGCCGCAAGGCCAGAGAAGACCGATGAGATCTTCATGGGTTGTATTTCGTATTTCGACGAAGTTAGGTAGGTCGAGTGGTATATGATGTCGTAGAGTTGTTAATGAATGGAGGGGCTGTAGGTATTGGTCCAGAATGTTGTTTGTAGGTATTCGTAATTGTCGGCCGCTGATTCCCCGATTTTTTAAGCCCTGCTAAGATAATCGACCCAGGTACCGTAGCCCTTCGTTCCCTGCTATTTTCTGTACCTGCTCTGATCAACAATAAGGCTGATTGAGCCTCAACAATTATACATATATGAGTTACATCGCGCCAGGGCGAATTATAAGATTTAAATTAAGACCAGCTTAAGATCTTAAATAGTGAAAAAAGATATATTTCATTTCATTAACTAGGTAGTTAGCTGTTAAACCATGGGCGCGACACCGTAAAAGCCATACGCCACCCTAGGTTTGATATCCTCTCAAGTTTATTCTTCCTTTCGCTATGAACATTGCAATCGCTGGGTATGTCCTTGGCTCTGCTCGACGGTGCTAACGTGGTTCCGTCTAATATCCAAATAACCGTACTAACCCATTCACCGCGCACTTGGCGTCAAATGCAACCCACGTCCCCGAAAAACTCCAAGGTCAAATATTCTTCGTGTAGCGTCCCAAGCAACCTACTTAACCTCACCGCAGGAATCACCTCATCGTCTGTCTCTCATATCTCGCTTCTATTCATAATCTACGAAGTTCCTGCCTCTTCGGACTCGTCGCCATCGTCAGATGAAGATGACTGGCCCCCTTCCAAGACATACCCCGCACAACGCGCAACCAGGCCTTTATAGTAGGCCTCTAGTAACTCGGGTTTGGGGACTATCCTCCAGTCCACTCGAGTTAGAAAATCGAGTTCCAGTAGCTTTAATTCTGCCACCTTCACGCCCCCCACGCGTGCGTAGAACGAATTGTTCCAAAACGAATCTGATAAACCCTTGCCCGCAACCGTGGCAGCGGTAATAAGGAACCGGTGTACTGTCAAGGTATTAATAGTAAAGTCGGTGTAATCCTCGCATAGGCGGTCAATATAAGACACCATAGATAGGAGAAGAGGAGGGGTAAGAGTGGCGTGTTTCGCAAGTCGCTGTAGATAATCTAATACTGATATACCCGGCGCCGTCCTGTATACCTGATTAGTGCTATCACACCGCAATGGGAACTGGTCACAGCGTACCTAGAATGAAACCTTGTGAGATGGCCACTTTTCATGGCTATCGAGTCATTTGTCTCGATAAGCTCCCCAAGCATATTTGAGATTAGGACTACCATGTCCTCCCTATCACATAATTCGTATCTCAGAGGTAGCACCTTGGGAGGGCATTCGTTAGGTTTTGACCGTTTTGGGGAACTCGGCTGGCTTAATGCCACTACCGATGAAGACGGGTCGATCGTTATAGGATCTTGCGACTTGCGTCTCTTATGGGGAGAAGGTGTTTGGAATTCGATCTTGGAGGAGCTATTTGGTGTCGAACTTGGCTCAGGAGCATTATCTGGTGCGGCAGGTTGCTGTTTGGGCTGGCTCGTCGTCTTCGTTATCGTTGAGGCTGTGGAGCTCGATATCCTCGGTCCCGATACTTGGGCGGACCGTAACGGGACCGTAGGGTCGAATGGCTCCATAGGTGAGTACTGCGTAGCTGCATCAACTCCAACATATTGTTTCGGCTTGGAGAGCGACGGGGATCGTAGAGGTGTCGAAGGCGAGGTGCGCGATAGAGAGTGTCTGGACTGGCGGCGCGGTAAGGGTACCGTTATCTTGGGCGATTGCTGGGGAGAGCGAGAGGTTGCATAGTGAAAGGTTCTAGGCGATGCGCTTGTAGCTCCTGGTATTGATGGCGACGAAGTTAACATGTTTTCCAAGGCGTCATAATGTCTCAGCCGCGTTGATCGTACAGTCGCAGGGGTCACAGGGGTCGCAAGAATCGCAGTTTGGGCCGCAACGGATCTGGACGTTCATAGGAACGGCGATATCATGGAATGATTCGCTTCACTCGTAGGTAGATAGGTAGATAGTCTATTTTTACCTATACAACAAGATATTCATTAGGTGACGATCCGCCAAAAGCTGACGAGAATTCTACTTTATGTAAAAGGCGGTGGTGGGACATGCTCGAACTCATGATTGAGGGATTGAGGGTTGGTAGTAGGCCGAGAACGCACCAGAGAAGGAGAAGGGCAAATTTCAAAAGTGCTGCGTTGATTTGTTCGTGTTCGGGCAAAGAAAGACCATGTGGAGACCCACCTATCGGTCTCATCCAGGCTGCCAGGTTCTTACCTAAGGCCCTTCCTAAAATCTTTGCATTCGGCCATTAGTTTCTTAGAACATTGAACTAATTGAACTAGCCCGGACTGAGATCTAAGTCTGGGTTAGGTACTTACATTATGTAGTAGGGCACCTAAGTACCTAATTTGATCCATAGGTAAATTTGACTTTATTTCATCGGTGCCTTATGTGGTTAGAGAATTAGGACTTTTTATGGATGTATCCTATGCACGTTTTACTTAGTTACATCAAGATATGCATACTCATGAATTAGTGCACTTATGATGTTTACAATTAACTAGAATAAAAGGGAACGATGGATTGCTATTTGTTGCTTATTGGTAACTTAGTTAGGCTAGCAGACTACAACTGACGGGTTTAGAAACAGATATACATAGATTGGGCATGTACGGAATACATATCTGAGGAGGAGGGGCAAACAGGAAACATGTGTAATATTCCGGTAAGGTACCCGTTGTTCTTGGCGAACTTGAATACCTATTCATCACGGTAATACAAAAGCTTCGGGTGTTACTTACTCTCGCAGCTATAGAAATATCTCCAGCGACAGAATTCAAAGACCTATTAGAAGGTTATATGATGTTGATTTAGTACCTAAAGTTCTTGTTCACTGGCTTTGCCCAATTATTACTCAGTATATCCTGGTAATTACTTAATCTTCATATTTCACACAGGTCTTCTAAACCAAATGATCCAAAGTTGCAAACATTTAATACTTTTATCAACCATAGTATACTTATAGAAACTCCCTATTACAACAAAAAGGTACCTAATCAACCACATATATAATTCTAAGTGTTGAATTTGCATCTTTAATTCCATCGTATCTTCACGCATTAAAATATGTCCATATTAAACACCGCACTAACCTAGAAGTGTAATAGCAAAATGACTTTTCAACGGCTATACTAATGACGTGATTTCGGTGTTGGTAAGTGAAAGGCTTTGACTAGGATATACCTTGCAATGAAGCAAAGTATTGCTAATTTTTAACGATTAGTCTTCTGGACTGGAGCCGACTTGCCAAACCTGCGGAAAGTCTTTTAATGTGAGCTGACCGCCATCTATTGCCCTGCTATGCCACAAGTGGCAGCTACATAGTAGTGGCAGCAGCTAGGAACTGTTGGCTAACCGCTTAGCCACTTATTATCCTTGCAACTTATATAAGCATCAGATGAATTACATAAGATGCTAAAGGTTAATAAGTACGTACCTCATATATAGATACATATAATCGGCTTAGCCGCCTCCGATGTCATGTCTTTATGCATCCATGTACACCTCTGACGTTCGCGACAACAGCTCGTCGTTGATAATCTTCTTGTGTTAATAGTATCACAATAGTGCGAGCTAAGTTCTTGCTTTTTCTACTTTACTTTAATAAGGAACTCAATACAAGATATCAACCATCGATGGCGCTTGATCCTCAATCGGTATTGGCAAAGCTCAATGCAACTACGCCGGAACAGATCACCGCTCTACGATACTTGAAGAATGAGGTGATCGGTCATATCCATAAGAAAGAGGATTGGGTTCGACATGGTGTTCTCCGTCCCATTGTTAGAGTCATAACCCCCAGTACCCTCAAAGCGAATGAAGATACGCGGCCGCCTTTCTTGACCTTGACGGCTTTCACGGATGAAGACAGCGCAAAGCTACAAGCTTTACAGCTTCTTGCTAGCTTTGCAAATGGTATGTCTTCTCAAAGTGATTACTCTCACCTCTTCGTGCAAGTTTTGAGCTTACACTTCTTATCCTACAGCTGGACCAGCCTTTCTCTCGCCGCTACACGCAGTCGGTGCGCTACCAGCTGTCTTAAACAGTTCCTGTCTCCAAAATGGACATCCCCAGATTGTCCTAGCTGCTCTTCGAGTCGTGCGAGACATAGCAGCAGCAGCAGCATATGCTCCGTCGACCTCCCCGATTACCTCTACGTCCCTTGCCGAAATATTATTCGCCGATGGCCCTCTAGATTCTCTATACCATATACTCTCACAGAAGACCCCGACCTTCGATAGCGAAGCGCAAATATCCATAGTTACCCATTTAATCAAGGACCTCTGCCGCGATGAACGCCACCAATTAGCATTGCTTAGCAAGGGAATCCTCGATGCACTTGCTACGAAATTGGCAAGCTTTGCAGTGGCCGAAGGGCAAGTCCTTCCGGGGGCCGAGATCATTGCTCGCATCGAGGGCTTAGAAGACTTCATACCAGCACCTGCTACCCCTGCCAGTAGCCTCGATGGAGTTCTAGGTGCGATCGCTTCCATCATTGGCGACTCTCGGTTCCGCGCTTGCAAGCTACTTTACTCTCCCTCGATCCTAGCAATATTTCCGGTTGCTAATATCGATCCAACTAAATCTCCGATATTACCCTTAGGACCGATGGAGCTACCTGGAGTGCAACGGCCGCCAACAAAACATATGGATTTTGAGCCTATGGACCTACTTCTTCCTCAAACTTTACCCGAAGTCCCTAGCCATACTCCAATTCCGTTAAGCACACCTCGTGAAGATTTAGGTCATGGCGGACAGTCGACATCCAAATTTCAAAGTACTGCGTCCTCGCGAAGCTCATCTGAGGATGCTTCAGCTTCTAAGAGCGATATCGAGAGTGAAAAAGCCGAGAGCCCTTTGGTATCATGGCTTATTACCTTAATTAGGTCCCAGAGCGGTAGCGAAATGTTAATGGCTACTTCCATCTTAACATCTCTATTCAAAGCTGGATTTTCTTACACGACTAGAGAGCCAAGCTTAGGACTACTCGTTGTACCTGTTCTTCTAGGTATGCTCGACGAGGTCGACGCTAAAATAAAGGATATCGATTACAGCAGTTGCAG